TTGCTGGACCTGGCTTTCTTTTTCCTTTCCTTTTCTTTAATGATTTGCATTCCTCTTTCCATTTACACAAATGGAAAAAACTGGCAGATCTGGGAACCCACACAGATTTCCCATGGATTTGTCTGGTGCTAAATCTTTGTAAGATCCTTCTCACGGATTCCTATGGAACTATTCCACTGAAATTATCCCATACTGAGTGTTCTTGAATGCCAAGCATTGACATGAGCCAGCCCAGATTATCCATGGTTTAGATGGCATAATTGCTTCAGACCTCACAGGCAAGGAGGCCAATGCTGAAGAGAGACGTAGTGCACATTTTCTTCTTTGTGAATCTCTGGCTGTTTCCATTACCATCAATATTTTCTGTTACTTCAGTTACACAGCAAAACTGCATAGATTAGGCTGCTAGCCTTACTGAAGTTGCAGTGCTAAAAATGGGATCCCCAAAAAGAAGGTTGTGCTGTTCCTGTGATACTTTTAATTTTTTTAATTATTTATTCATATATTTATCACCAGTCTTTAGACAGTGTATACCTTACCTGTACAAGATGGGTCCAGTTACTAGTACTGTCCTGGAGTCTCAACCACCTATATTTGACCTTAGTCGTGATGTTAGACTGATTAGATCCTAAAACAAGTATTCTTATTTCCAGGATGTGTAAACTGATACCCAACTGTTTAAATGTGCATTGCATATGACACATGCCAAATGTTCCACAACAACCGCAACAGATGTGTTCTATAAACCTGTCTCTTTCACTGCAACAAAGATGTGCTAGACTAGCCAAGTGATCAGAAGAACAAGTCCATCAGGTTGCACCTACATCCATCTGGTGAGCAGGTGCAAGACTTTATGGTGAAGCTTATGTATCCTAGTGACCTAGCCTATAATTGCTGGGACATCCTACTAATGTCAGGTGATAAAACCACTTCACAGTAAGTTAGCTGGAAATCCTGGATTCCACATTTCTTTTTCTATGCTAAAATATGTTAAGAAAGAAGATAGCACTGGTCAATCCCATCACAACAGCATTTACACCAACACAAAATACTGTTTGGTTTGGGTATAAAGGAAGAAAGCATATCAAAGGCATCATATGATTTTTTGGGCTGCTTGCCTTGTTTCTCACATTTGTATCCCCAACCCCCCAGGAGCTCAGAGAAACAAATGTGGCAATTGCACTGTTTTATAGTCATATCTCAGTAAGACAAAGTAAGATAAAGAGAGAAAATGAATTCATTGAATTTTATGGTTGGGACAGAGATTCAGTCTCAGATCTCTTCCCCTTCCACCACAGATAAGAAATTGGACTGCTATAATACAATGTTTCATATTCATGCTATTCTAGATCCCTTCAGTGACCAACAGACATACAAACCAAGGTGGAAGGGGAAGAAAATCTTTGAGAGTAACTTTCTAAAAGATTTCATTCATCTGTATATTCTTGCAGGGACAGAGGTTAATGCCCTGGAACTCATGGCAAGCAGAAGCAGTGATCTCTCTTTGCTCATAGGCCACTTTTCAAAGACTAAAGAAGGAAAACTGCCAGTTTATCAGAGACCCTTGAAGTACAGGAGGGATTAACCAGCTGCAGCTGGAATAGGAAAAGTGGAAGGGGAGGAAAAGCATTGCTAGAAGAGGAGTCCTGGAATGAATATATGCCAGAAGTACATGGAAGTGCATCACTGGTTAAAACCCAACTGGGCAACAACTAGGGGTGGCTTGGGTGGGGCAGGCAGTGCCAGGCAATCCCATGGCCTATTAGTTACAGTGCATAACCCACCAGTCCAGCACTGCTACCACCTTACACTCTCTCTGCAATTAGTAGAGGGGCGGTTGTTGGAAAGTGTTGGACTGAGACTTGAAGGATCCAGGTTTAGATTCGTCCTTAGCTCAGAATTCCACTGGATAACTTGACTGATATTTCCCCATCCCAACCTACCTCACGAACTAAAAGATGTTGTGAAGATCAAGAAAGGGATCACATATACCTTACTGGGGGGAAATAGAATATTGCTGTTATAGGAATATTATTGATATATATTGCCTAGAAACCTCTATGATAGGTTTGCTACAGGATCATCATAAGTTGAAAATGACTTGAAAGAACAGCTGTGTGGCCTCCATCCCGAGGAAGCAAGATTTAAAATCCCAATTCCTCTTAGATTTTTTGCCTATCCGAAAGGGCCCTTAGAGACCTTCCAGCTACTACAACAGTTAGCCCTGCTAATCTTCATCATCTGGCATGCATTTGTATCAAAATTACCTTTTTATATCAGATATATATCTAGTCTTCCTTGAAGTCCCCCACTTTGTCAGTGTTTGTCCATCTCTTTGCTGGTGACTGGGATTGCAGGATTATTACCAGGGTAGGAATTTGCCAGATTGTCTCATTTCCTTTCTGACCTGATAATCAACAAGCAAAACTTTGAGCATGAGCAACATGCATAATTAAAATATCAAGTACTATGTGTCCACTCTGCAAAATTTCTGAGGGAACTCCCTCTCAAGAACCTTCCCTAAAAGGGAAGCTGATGAGAACTCACCTTCTTCTCTACTACAACTGGTTCTTCTCCATTATGTCTAGCATTTAGCAATCTTCTTTCTAGAGTACCATAACAGCAGAATAATTGGTCATGGCTTTGTTGGAAAAACATTTCCAAGCAAGATTTGGTTTGATCTCCCAGGCCATGTGCTGCAGGGTTGAACATCATGTATCAGAATAGTATGTTGCCCCCAACTATCAATATTTTGTGCTCATGAGAATGTTTTATGTCAGGTAGCCAATGTTTCCATACAAGCTTTTCTAAGTAACTAAGCATGTAATAGGTCCTTCTGGATCAAAGTCTGACCATCTCTTATGCTGTTGTCAATTATGTTCACTTTTGAAAGTGAGAACTACAACAGTAACTAGAGTAAGCAACCATAAATTTGTAATGGTCTGTGTCAAACATATTCACAAGAAGATATTATTCATTCTTAATCTCTCAGTTCAGCAAATTCACACTCAAGTACAAATCAGATAAACTATAGTATAACCCTGCATCTGCAGGACTGGTGTCCACAGTTTTATCTATCCAGTTTTAACAAATGTGGACAAATGTTTTCTCTAAGCATTTTCTAGGACCTTCAGAATGTATCAGGATGTATCTGTGGTATTCTTGGGCCATTTGGGTTCACTATATATCTCATATATCTACAAGAAGTCCAGGAACATATTCCCTGCAGGTACGGGGTCCATACTATACTTGTCTTCTGTAAGAAACTCTGCAGTCTTCTCATCAGACAGCCGTTAAAGCTAAGGAGGCTTAGGAGTTTTTTCTCTTAAGTTATGATTCTTGCAAGAAGCCATCTTATTGACACTGGCAAATTGGACTCATTGTTTATCTTAGCTCTTCCAGGCAAGATGGCATCTTTGTCTTCATGGGAAACTAAACAGTTGCCAATTCTAAAGTCTGGACTGAAGGGGGTGGCGGAATCCATAGCAAATGACAACTCTTTGCATGCCATCCTGTGATCCAAGACGATCTGAACATCATGATTTACAATTCTTCCAACTCTCTTTAACTGGTCTAATTCAGCAGTTGATATAAAATGAGACATATATTTGGAACTATGCCAAATATATAGAAACTATGCCAAATACATGGAATATCCTGGATATTAGAAATTTGGCTGTAAAATACAGGGCATAGGATCTCTGACTATCGAGTTTGGCTCATCATGAAGACTATGATAAATCCTCCCTTCTGAAGAAAATAAAATGTGCATTAAATTACTCCTGACAGTTCCTCCCTCACACAGCCTGTAATTTTTATGTGTGCACCTGCCAGCACTGCAATAATAGGCATATAGCAATGCATGTCAGCAATTTTGAAAACCTCCCACACAAAAAAGAGAACTTGCCATGTAGCAAAGCACAAGATGTAAGGAGCACAAAAACCTCGGGCAGCAAACACATATGCCCCATATAAACTGATATATAGTCAGTTTGAAACAGCCTTATATGGCCAGTGTAGTCTCATTTAATGTAGTTCAACTGCATTATATGAATCTACACTGACCATTAAGACAGTTTCCAATTGTATTATATGGCAGGAAAGATTGGGCCATAGCTAGAAAGCTGTATGTTAGGCATAGTGGTACACCAGTACAAAAACCAACTAGGACTTTTATGTGATAAAAAAGATGAAGCTGAAAGTACTCTTGACATGGGGCCATCCAGCTTCTGTTTAAACATCTTCAGAGGAGGAGACTCTGAAGGAGACACTAAAGGAGTACCATGTCTGCGGTTTCAATCCATCGCCCTGTGTCCTGTCTCTAAAGCAGCAGAAAACAAGCTGGTTTCAGCTTCAAGATGACAGTCTTTCAAATATTTAAACATGGTTAGCATATCACATCTTATTAACCTTATCTTCTCCAGGATAAACATACCCAACTCACTAAGCTTCTCCAGGGAGACTGCCAAGCCTCGTAAGACTTATACAATGAGACCCTATTAAAAATGGCTCCTGCTCCACTCCAAGCACCTAAAGCGGCAGGAAGTGCAGAGCCGATCAAGCCAGTATCATTGTCATATGTTTCTAGCATTGATCTGTGGGTAAGACATCAGACGTTTCTGGTCTAATGTTTTAAACTTGTACACAAAACAATATGTTAAGTTCTTTTTAGTTAGAAGCATCTACTATAGAGTCTTTCCTATGTGCCTTTGTAGATCAAACTCTGAGAACGGATTAGGGTTTTTTAATGGCCATTTCAACTGTTTTTAGGGATGTAACATGGGAAATAAGGAGACAGCAACTATTTAAGAATGACATCCTGATTTCCACCAAGAATGTAATATGAAGCCAGTGCAATTTTTGTAGTATGCATGATTACTGTGCATAAACCCAGTGTTAAGAAAATTGTTTCCTGATCCCCCAGAGGCAACTTTGCATTTTCAATTGTTATGCTGATATTGTGAGAGGCAAGGAAAAATATTTATAAGTCAAGAGTAAAATCAGGTCAAATCCAGGAACTTTTTATTTATCTGGAATGGAAACAACCGACCAGCCTGAGGAAAAAAAATCAGGTGGTAATTGTACATTCTCTTTTTTTCTAAGGAAAGCAAGTGTTTGGTTCCATAAATTTGTCATAAGAAACAATATTTAAAAATGTACATCAAACTTTTTACAAAACATTGGATGGTCTCATCAGCCTCTACCACGCAGTTGTCCATTTATATCATGCAAAATGCTACATCTGTTTAACACATTTTAAACATTAGTATTACAAAGATACAAAAATTCACCTGTTGATGTATTTTTTAAGACATGGAGATTGCGATGCATTTGTTTCTCATTGGGATTCCCTCCCCACCCCCAGCCCCAAGTTACAAAAATAATTTAGTTCACAGGGGCAAGATATGGAATAGCATTTCATCCTTGAATCCTTTAACTCGTACCTCTGTCACTTTCATTAGCGTGCCAAGCCACAAGGACTTGACTTGTTGTGGTTCTTGCATTCATAAGATCATAGACCTGCTAGAAGGTACTTCCAGGGTCAAAGAGTCCAGCCTCCTGGAGTAACCAAAGTCCTTAGACTTCAACTTTTCTTGATAGATGCTTGTCCATTCTCTTCTGACAAACCTCGAAAGGAAGGAGCATGCTCCACCATCAAGCTGTTCCACTCTCTTCAGTTATTAGTTCCATTTAGATCAAAGCATCTGTAGCAACTAAGAGTTAGTTCTGTTGGAACTCCAAGAATGACCTATGTTGAAGAAATCAGCCATTCAGTCTGGGCCGATTTCACAGGGATTTAGACCTTTGTCCTCAGCCTCTTTATACATCCTTTGGAAGTCTCTAAAACGAGGAGCACAGCCTAGCCTGGCCTCCCCAAAGTGCATACGGCCCGTGAAAAGGAAGTCTCCTTCTCCTGGTCTCACCCCACATTGAAGTAAAGTCTTGATCTGTCCTTGCCACCTGTCACTGTCTTCTGTAGGCTTAAAGATCTTTGTCTTCTGCCTGTAAATTCTGTCCACACTCACATCAATGATGGAGTCTCTCTGCTCTTCTTCATTGATGACATTTTGGATTGTACCTCTGACAACTGAAAATGGAAAATATAAAATTAGATCAAGAATTTCCAGATACAAATATCTTTGCAGTACGGAGAAAGAGAGGGACATCTACCAATACCTTTTCAGTGGTTCCCAGCCTCTGAGCCTTCAGGTGCTTTGGACTTCAGCTTCTAGAAATCCCAGCCAGCTTACCAGCTGTTAGGAACTGTGGGAGCTGAAGTCCAAAACAACCGGAGGCCCAAAGGTTGGGAACCACTGCCTATGGAAATTTGAGTAACAAACAGTTGTGGTCACTGATTCAATGGCACCTTATAAAAAAAGAAAACTGTACCGTCCAACTGAAAACATTTTTATAAACAAGCAAAAATACATTCCAAGATACACACACCACAAGAAATGGTAAAAACTCCTTAGTATTACTATATATTTCTGTACTAAAGTATTTTAGATAATGGCTATTAAACTAAGATAATTTATCAGTTGAGTGGTTTTTTTTAAAAAAAATGGTTTTACAGCTGGCTATGTTCAACTCTGAATTCACCTACTGTAAAACTGAAACATTTTCTGCACCGATTCAAGAAATTATTATTTTTGAGCAACTTTTCAGATCATACCAGTTCTTGCTCTGTATCATTTGGGGCAATTCCCTGTCAAAGCAACAATATTGGTACTTGACAAGATTAACACCAGTTTATTTTAATCACACAATTATAAAATCATAGAATCATAGAGTTAGAAAAGACCAGAAGGGCCATCCAGTCCAACCCCCTGCCATGCAAGAAAGACACAAAGCACCTCTGACAAGATAGCCATCCAGCTTCCAACGAAGGAGCCTCCACCCCACTCTGAGGCAGAGAGTTCCACTGTTGAATGGTCAGGAAGTTCTTCCTAATGTTCGGGTGGAATCTCCAGTCATTTGAACGCATTGTTTCAAGTCCTAATCTCCAGGGCAGCTGAAAACAAGCCTGCTCCCTTTTCCTTATGAAGGCCTTTCAAATATTTAAACATGGTGATCATGTCTTTTCTCAACCCTCTCTTCATTGCAACCTACTAAGGAAATTACCAAATGGGAAAACCTAATCACTCCCTTCACTGTGTACAACTAGGAGTTCATCCTACTATCCAATAAAGCAAGCATTTTAAAGACAATTGGATACCTGCTCTAAGACACAGAGAGGCCCTTTCAATGGAGTTCTATTAATGGCTTACTAATGTTTAAGTTGAATTCTCTGGCATGCTGCCCATGAAGAAATACTCAGAGCGAGCCACCACCTGTCTAGGGAACATTTTCCACAGAGACAAACCTAGAGCAATCCCACTGCAATTCTTGGATGTTGCATCTTCTTGCCCCTGCTCAGAATATTGCCCATTATGTTCATAACACTAGTAGACTGTATTTTTATCTGTAGCAGATGCCCAAGATTAGACATGCCCAGCTGTTTCACTGCTGCGCTTACTCCACATTCCAAGCGTGGGAAAATTGCTTTAATGTGATTTAATAATCAGGCAGAGGAAGACAGATACCCCACCAGTTGGAGAAACCTCTGAGAGTTTGTGGGTGTGACAGACCAGAAAATAGGATAATTTTTATTAGTCTAGTTTTGTGTTTTCATGGGGATTGTTCTGTAATTTTACACAGGTATTGTCTCTAACAAAACTATATTTTATTATCCAAGTGAACATAGATGACCTTGCTTGCTCTCGTCTTACAAGCCCAGTTAAGGTCATATATGTTATATTTCATGGCCATGCATATGTTTATAAGAATTGTCTTATATACATGGCAATGAAATATTAGATCATATATGACCTTAACTAGGTTTGTAAGTCAAGATAAGCATAAAGTTGGAGGGAGGGTTTAACCATTGCTCAGAGAAAGGTTTTTCAAACTGGGTCTCTTTTCCTTTCTGAGTTTTGTTTCCAGTATCTCAGTATCTCCTTTACTCTTAATATGTAACTGGCCTGGAGATACAGCCCAGCTCTGCAAATCATCTCAAATGTCAATACTACAAGAGTCAAAATAGAAACTCGTCCAAAAACTCAGCTCCCATCTTCCATTTTGCTATGTTTAAGGCCTTTCTGGAGCTGACCTCTCCTTATGCCTATGAGTTGGGGAAAATCATATACTTCAACTATAACATAGCAAAATTACAAGCAAAACTGTTCCCTGTTTTGTTTGGGGGGGGGGCAAATTTTAATTGAAAAACAAGGACTTTAGTATTTAGGCTTTTGTCAGAGGTCTATTTAGGAACATCAAGAGGACAATTCCTACTGCTTGCTCCTAAAAAACCTTTGAACTTCTGCCTCTATTATTGCTGCCCACCTCCTTTTGTCCACTACAGAAAAAGAGCTAGCCACACACAATGGCTTTAATTGAAGCTCTCCAGAGTTAAAACCCATAAAGCCTTTACCGCCTTGTTCCCTTTGTAGTTCCTGGACATACTCTGTTTACTCTGATACAGGGAGAAAAGAACTCCCTTGTTTTTCACAATCTGGTACTTTCAAACTGTTTATCGTTTGCTGAGGTTTCAGTAGATCAGATCTAGCAAATTACCACAATAAGGAAAGACCAGGGTTTAAAAAACTAGTGCTGAACACAATACAGATGCAGAGAATGCAAGTAAACGTACCAAAGTCACTAGTGCAGACAGCCAAGAGTGCTTCCGTGTCGCTGCAAGGTCGGCAAGGAGCTAGGAAAAAAGAAAGGATATTTCAGTGTCTTAAGGACATACATGTCAAACAAGCAAAGATGGACTGAAGATACAAAATCTTGTAGCAACATAAAAAATAATGGAGTTAATTGGCTGCATAAGCTTTCATAGACCAAGCATTATCCAAACTATAGAATTAATGCAGTTTAACACCATTCCGTTTACAAAAGCCTATGTTACCAACGCTTTAAGGTGATACAATATCCCTTTGAACATCAATATTCCTGATCAACACAGTAAAAATGTGTTTATGAACCAAACCCACATTCCTTTGATGACATTGTTTGTAAAATACACAGGCACTATAAAATAACTTGAACAGTTGTTAAATACCAAAAACAATCACACAATGAAATGTTACATATTTGAGCTGCTTCTTAGTTATAAAAAACATAATTAAAATACTGTATGTTCAAGAAATAAAAATTGGCCATTGTGTCTGAGGAAAGGAAGATCAAGTGGAAACCCAAGGCCAGATCTGTTACCACTCTGAGAAGTGTGTAGGTTGGAAACAGTAGAGAGACCCCAAGCTAATCTAATCAAGGCAAGAATGTAGCTGCTCTTTGTACTCAGCCAGCAACTTCTGCTGAGAAGGTAGTGCTGTTAGAAGTGCAGATGTTTCTATAATACCCTATTCAGTTATGGAATTCCTTTTTTTCCCTCCGAGGTCTGCCCTATCTCGCAACACACTAATTAAATCTACCCACTGGAGGCCCAGAGAGCAGGAGGGGGGAGGTGAGGACACAACTTTCTTTTGTCATCCCAACACATGTCTTGATCATACAAATGAAAATCCATTTACTGTGTTAAGACCTAATGTTAATCTCAGTGGTCACTGTGAAAAGACAGTCATGATCAAGCACTTAATGGGTCAGAGGAGTGACCAATTATGCACTTATACATTTCTTTATTGCCTTTTTAATCCAATCAACCACAAGAGTTTCCCAGGAAGACTACATAAAATTTAAAGAACCAGCATGCCTCTCACCCAATCTTCGAATTATGAACTGAAGCATATACTGACTACATTTTTTAAAACATGCAAGCTGCCAGTAGACAGAATACAGAAGTAACAACCTCTGAGAAATCACTTGCTAATATAACTACTATTCTTTATAATAATAAGGATAATAATAATAAGGGTAATACTGTAATAACTGGAGGAAAGAAAGAAAAAATATGAAACGGGGTAGTACATTAATTACACTTTCTTCCTAGTAACTATGCATAGGATCACACTCATAACTAATCAGATGCTGTCCTTCATAGATATTTTTGTAAGAGTGTCAAACACGCTCATCTGAAGAAAACCACAAGTTAATTCGCTGTGCTTTGTGCACCTCAATGCAAAATCCTCCCAAATATGCAGGTGTGAATCGGTAGATGCTTACCTTGATGCTATTCACTTATTATCTGAGAGCAGACTTAGACCTAGGCAGGGAACTGCAGGTGCACTATGGCCCTCCGCCACTAACCCCATATATAGCAAAATGGGGAGGGGAAAATTTGGGTGAAGAGATTGAAGCAGGCCTCAAAAATGGCCGGATCCGCTCAGAAATGCCTCTCTTCCTTATTGTTTTCCTTACTAGGAGAAGGAAGTGAGGGTGGAGAAAGCATATACTGAATATATGTTGGTATTTCTGTACTCATGAAACATGCACATCCCATTGTTAATATTGCCCTTGAGCAGACCAGCAAAGATATCTTCAAATGACTGAGAAGGAGCATTAAGGGACTCATTTTCAGTATTGGGATTGTATGCGGGACAGCAACTGCCAAAACTTTCCTGTTATTATGTGATTTCAATTTCCACTTTATGGGGACACTATCTATGGGGAGTTTGACAAGGTTTGTTCACAGGGGAGTTAGCTTTCCATGGCTTAGTGGAGATTCAAACCCTGGTCTCCCAGAGTCCTAGTCCAACATTGAAAACATTATGCCACACTGCCACTCCAAAAACAAAACTGTAGTGTCCAGAATGCCATGTATGCAAAAATCAGGGTTTGGGCCTTTTAAATGTTAAACAGCAGCAAATAATGTGAAACTAATTTTTAAAAAAAATGAATTGTTGCTCCTGGAGGCTTTCAGAAGAGCCAATCCTTCTCCCCATTTTTGTCCTTATTAGTCAGACAAATAATAGTGGTCCAAGAAGCCTGGAGTGAACCAGGCTTCTATTTTGCCCTCCACTGCTTTAGACAATGCAGGGAAGTGGCCAGAAATCTGAGGAACTGGTGCCTCCCTTTACGTCTGTCATGGGCAACAGCTACAAAAGAATGAACACATTGCCCCAGAAGATATGAGAGTTGTTTCTGCTTCAGGCACTACCATGGATGCAAGAAGAGGATTTGCAAATCACTTCTGTAATATCTTGATGGCCTCAGATTCCAGCAGGATTTTGATTCACAACAGGTGGTGCCTAAGTACACTTAATTCCGCTGCTGGATCACTTAACAGAAGTAAAAACCAAACATGCAAGAGAATGTTCCCTCAAATCTTTATTACCTTGAATCAAAACCCAGAGCACACCAGGTGTGTCCAGGCAGGGGGAGAGAAGAGACCCCAAGCACAGAATATGCAAAATTCAATCTGTTAAAAGCATCACTTCTTGTATTTCAGCATTCTGGTGAAGAGAAAGAATTCCTATGAGAGGCACATTTCTGCAGTTTCGTGTTGCTTTTTTTGCCTAGTAGATGTGTTGCTATGGAAAGCCTTACAACCACAATTTATGAATAGAGGCTGTTTATGAACAAACTGCTGCATGATTACAAAAGAAAAGCCTGTTTTTTTTAAAAAAACTACTCTTCTCATTGCATTTTTCTGTGATAGACTCCAATAGTCAGGACTGTCAAACAAATGATCAAACCGCAAATTCTATAACTACCATCCTCCTCCAATCCACAAGAGAAGGAAAAGCAATTTGATTGCATTGCCAAACCCCAGATGCTTTACTCTGCTAAAGAGGCCATGGCATAATGCTGGCATTGTACGTGCTTGCTGTCAAATCAATGGGGAATTCCTTTGATAGAGTGTCATGACCCAAAGTAACCTTTTGCAGCCCTTATTCCCACTGACAACCCTATTCTGCCCCCTCCTACCAACCAATGTATCTGAAGGCCATTTACCATATTTACTTCTCTCTGCTGATGGCAGGAGAACCAGAGAAGGAAAGAAACATACTTTTCCACATTCTGTCTTGTGAAGTAACATTTTATGTTGTACTGAGGGAAGTATCTGAAGAAGTCAAGTACCTCCATTTATTAACCAACAAATTTAAGATCATAGAATTATAGAATTGGAAGAGACCACAAGGGCCGCCTAGTTCACCCTTGCAATGCAAACTTGTTCTCTCATTTAATTACTCCTTTGCAAGAGGAAATAACCCAATACTGTACAAATGTCTCATTGGAAAGCCCCTGGACAGCATTCGGTGATCAAAACTCTCCATGTATTTTCTACATTTTCCTCCCCTGGGTTAAGAGGTTTTAATCCAAGAGTATTTTATCTGCAATCTTATGCTAAAAATAGTTTTCAGTTTCCCATAACAGAGCCTCCAATGCCAATTGCAAATTACTTCAGCTACTACACAAGGATGAAAACTGACTGGTCCGGGAAGCAAATGTTAGTTTATACCAATGGTTCTCAACCTGTGGGTCCCCAGGTGTTTTGGCCTGCAACTCCCAGAAATCCCAGCCAGTATACAAGCTGTTAGGATTTCTGGGAGTTGAAGGCCAAAACATCTGAGGACCCACAGGTTGAGAACCACTGGTTTATACCAACTTATACTTCTGTGGCCATAAAACAAAAAGATGCTCCTAAGCCTGTCATGGGCCTCCTAGATGATGATCAGGTTCCACGTAATCCATGATCTTCACCAGATCTGGCACTGACACTTTCAAGCATCTGTAAAGTTCCAGCAACCCTCTGGGCCCTATCAGTGCTGTTGCCAACTCTAGGACCCAATATAGAATCACTCCAGGGCATTGCCACAAGGTCTTCAAAGTGAATTCAATGCTGATTTTTCTCTCCATCAATGACCAGCCAGCAGATACCAAAAAAGTGACAAGAGAAAACTCTTTTTCTCTTTTATTACTTCCAGGTGTCTGATGACACAAGATATTAGAGACACACTAAGCCATAAGCATTTCTCTTAGTTCACCTTAATTTTTAATTCATTTCCATATACTCGTATTTTCCACAAAGACAGAATTAATGTTCTATTACAATCAAAGCACCCTATCCTTCTATTACTGGATACATGTTCCTAGTCTCTCCTTCTAAAACAAATATGTAGCCAAAAACCCAGTAAAAAGCAGGCTAGTTGCTGAACTATTGGCAGCTCTTTGAATACTAGTGGTCAGGACTTGATTATATTCATAACGGAAAGGAATATGTTCCAATGCTGGTAGTTCTTATATAATTACATATGGGCTAAGAAAGTCCAATTTTCTCCAAGGCTGACAGCAATTATGATTAAATCGGGATGGATTGAACACTTTAGACAGGGTGGCCAAGAACAGCCAGGGACTGTTTTTAAAATAGGGTGTATGCATGGGCCAAAAAGCCACAATTAGAGAAAAGGGAGCTGTGAGAGTCAAAATTCAGAAAAAGCACATTCCCCTGAATAATTCTAGTGCTGTGGAAATCAGAAATGTCTTGGGCTATGTAAAAGAAGATGGATGATTTAAACCTAATTGTATTCATTCATACAAAGAGAAAAGGAAAAAGTTTAATTTTAATGGAGTTGGTTTCAATGATGAAGCATGGATTTGAACCCTGGTTTCCAGAGTCATAGTCCAATGCTCAAACCACTACTCTCGATGAACCAGAATTCTGTTTCTACTCCTACTCTTATGGTTTGCTTTTCTTCTCCAAATGAAAGAAAAATCTTGAAAAAAACATCTTCCTTGCCCCAGTGCGTCAGTTAAACATAACAGTGGAGCCACTATTTTAACAAATGATACTTTTAAACCCAGGGCTTG